GAGAGGAGGAGGAGGAGGAGGAGGAGGAGGAGGGGGAGGAGAGGGAGGAGGAGGAGGGGAGGAGGAGGAGCACCGGGGCACCGGGGCCCCCTCGAGGCGCGGTGCCGCCCGCAGCGGCAGGCCCAGGCGCGGGCGCAGCGGCGCGGGGCGCGGCGGTTGCGAGGCGCGGGGCTCGCCGCCGCGGGGCGGCGGGGCTCGCCGCCGCCGCAGCCGCGCGGCGCCGGGCGGCGCGGCGCCCTGGCGGCTGCCTCGACGCGCCCATGTGGAGACCCAGACATCGGGCGTCTCGAAAAAATCGAGACGGGTTTTTTTGTAGTTTTCGGCCTGTCGGGGCCCTCGCCGGGCCTCGGGACCGTCAAAAAATGACTCGGGATGAAAAACCGGTCCCAGGGAAGTGGTCGGGAGGTCGGGGGGGCCCGTGTCCCGAAAAAATCGAGACATCGGATGTCTGGGGACGCAGCACGGGCCGCGCTCGGAACGTCCGGGGCAGCACGTTCAACGTGTTGCCGGCGCTTTCGAAAAAAACGCCCAAGTATAACGCCCAGAAGATGGCGCAAGAGCGCCCCCCGCGCCCCCGATTTCAACGTTCATCTGAGGGAACAGGCCGCGGTTTGCAAATGTGGGCGTTTTTTCCGAGACGACTCGCACTCCCCCGCGTCGACCGCCCCGAACGCTGCAATTGGGGCTGGGGGGTTGGACGCGCTTTAACACGCATTCGAGATGGACATTTTTTCGAAAACCACGGTGACACGAACGTCCCGGTTTCCGACTCGATCTGGTTGCCGACTTGATCCGACTCGGCCCTGCCGCGTTCAGCCGATTTCGATTTGGCAGGCGACTTCTGCCGGCTTCTGCCGATTCGATCTTCGGGTCGATCCGATTCGACTTCTCGATTCGATGCTGGGGCCACCTGCGTTGCGTGCTGGCTCGGCGTACGGACATGCGTTTTTGCGAGCGTCTCGCGTCGGGCCTCTGCGTTTTCGGATATGGCGTGTTGAAATCCGTGTCAGTAAATCAGGCTGTTTGCTGCGCGAGGCGTGTCGGGGCAGCCGAGGTCGCAGATCATGGGAGCCTGGTGTGCCCTCGACATTCCGTCTTCAGAGTGCATTCGCGTGCTCTAGCCTTAAGTCGGGCCTGTCCCTCTACAGGAGGAGTATTCAAAGATAGTCAAACATAGCACGGGTACGTTCTTTTGTTTTGACATCTTTTTACTTTTCGTCCAAAGTCCTCTTGCAGGAGGACACGCCCGACCTAGCTCTAGCGTCTGGTAAAAGTCAATGAGAAGGCGCAGAAGTAGCGTCGATCTGCTTAGCATCGGCGTCGATTTAGCGTCGGTTCGCGTCGATCAGCGTCGGTTAGCGTCGATTGCAGGAGAAGCCAGCAAGATGGCATGTGAGGCTCCCATGAGTTGCCTGGCCGAGACATCCGGCGTCTCGAACAAATCGTGACGGAGGTTTGGCCCAGTTTTCGGCCTCTTTCGGGCCCCTTCCCAGGCCTCAGGGCCGAACCGAACACGGCTCGGGGTGACAACCTTGGTGCCCGGGGGAAGTGGCCGAGAGGCCGAGGGCGCGTGCCCTGCACAATTCGAGACGCCGGATGCCTTGGGTCGAGCGGTGGCGCGCGGCCCCGCGGGCTTTTGCCCGGCAGTCGGTCTGCGGCGCGCGCCGGTGCGAGAACGGGGTGCCCTGCGCGAGGTTCGAGGCTCGAGGTTTTCGGTTGCTTCCCTGGGCTCCAGGATTTCCCAGGTTTTCAGGATTTCCAGCAGCTCCCAGTGTTCCACAAGGGCTGCAGAAAGGAGGGCCGCTAGATACCCTAGAGATCCTGGAGAAATCCTGAGCCAATCGAGTCGTACAGTCGGGGCGCTGAAGAAGGAACCCTTTTCGTTGGGGAGGGGCTCCGCGTTCCTTAAGTGTTTCACAGGTTGCCTCAGGTTTTCCTCGTGTTTCGATGGGAAATCCAAGTTTAACTTATGGAAAAGAGGGGCCTCGTTCCTCCTTTAGGGTTCCTTAGGTCAACGCCCCGACTGTAGGGGGGGACAGGCTCAGGGGGGGGGGATCGAGGCTTGGAGGCTCGAGGTTTTCGGACGTCGCAGGCGACTTGTGCCCCCCAATCCCCGAGCTCCGCCCGAAGAGTGTGGTTCAGAGCAGGAGGGAAGCCCTGGGATGCACCTCCAGGGGGCTCCTCGACCCCCCCCCCTTCTCGAGGATGGAGGACGCCCCCCCTCGTGCATCCCAGGGCTGGGCCCCGAATTTCCGGGCCCCCTCGAAAGCGCAGATGACGCCTGGGACAGGGGTCGACGTGCCCCCCTGTCGGTCGGACGTTCCGTCGGTTCCCGTCGGCCTTTCCGCCCGTGGGGTGCTCCCCAGCCGCCGCCTCCTCGCCCAGAGCGCTCCCGGGGGTGCCCGCATCGTGGCGGGCGGCCGCCGGAGACCCGAGCTGTGCCCCGAGAGTGGGGCGCCCTCGCCGCGTGGCGAAGTCGCCCGCGGGGCGCCCCGCAGAGGAGGGCAAGGCTTACGTCGGGCCCGTCCCTCCACAGGAGGAGTACTCAAGAATAGCTGAAACATGGTCTGGGGGCGATTTTCTGAAGTTCCCCCCATCGGAGCTTGCCTCTGTAGGGGTCCTATGCGGATTCATATGGTCAGGTTCGGTTAGGTTCGTCGCCGATTTTCGCTGCACGCCCGGGTGCCCGGGTGCCCGGGGGGTGCCCTATAGCCCTATAGCCCTAATCCCTATAGCCCTATAGCCCAATAGCCCTATAGCCCTACAACTCTATAGCCCTATAGCTCTATAGCCCTTCAGCTCAATAGCTCTGTAGCCCTATAGCCCCCTAGCCTGGCCCTATAACCCTGATTGTTTTTTTTCTCCGGTATCATATTTGTTGACCATGTAGGGTATTTTTTGACAAATTTCAATTTTTCGTCCAACATCGCCCTGTAGGAGGACAGGCCCGACTTAAGACAAGGCACCAGCCGCTGCCGCTGCTTGGTCCCGAAGAGTCCTCGTCGCCACGTTTGCGGGTCCTCCTCGAGTCCGGATTCTCTCCTCGAACTTTTGGTCAGAGCGCACCCCGGGAGAGGATTCCTTGGAGTGGCGGTCTCGGTGCCCTCTTGCTCCCCCAGCTCCGAGTCGGAGGTCTGTCTCTCTGACGTCCTCGCGTCGTGACAATTTCCGAGGCGGGGATTTATACGTGACCACCGCCTGGAAGGCCAGTCTGTTGGAGCCTCGGCAGGCGGTGCATACGGACACTGTCGGGCCCCCGGGGGCCGAACTATCTCCATATCCACCGCCCGCTAGGCCTGGGGGCCGATTTTTTGTTATATACATTATTATATATATATATATATATATATATATATATATATATATATATATATATCGATAAACAAAACATATACAAAAAAAACACTGGGGCGCCAGGACGTCGGTTCCCAGGCGGTGGATGTGGACAAAAATCCCCGCCTCGCAGACGAGATCGCCACGGGCGATCTCCTGCAGAGCTCGGGCCCCAGGCGCCCCCGCTGGGCCCATGGGGCCCTCGAACCACGACCCAGGCGGAGACGCCGGCCCCCAGAGGGAGGTCCCGAGCTCTGGGGAGCCGCGCGGTCAACAACGAAAACACGGCGCCGCATGTCTGGGTTAGCCGCGGCCTCGTTCTGAGGCTGCGCCCCCCTTTTCCTCCCCCTTCTCTGGTTACTTCAAGCTTCGCGCGGCCCGCTCAGCTTCGACCGGAGGAGGTGCGCTCTCGACCCGCGAATCAAACTGCCTGGGTCGGCCAGGGGTGGTCCTGGCCCGGGGCGCCTCCCCCCTTGCTCTCTTTTCTTGCGCCTCCCTGGGGCCCCCGGGGCCGGCCCTCGTGGGGCGCACCGGCGGGTGCTCGGGAGGCGGCCCGGGCCTCCCCGGAACGAGCCGTGAGGCCACGCCGTGGGCCCGGGTGGTTCCTGGCCGCGCCCAGCAGGAATCAGAGCGCGAGTTACCTACCCCGCTTTCGCTTCCACGCAAAACCAGGTCATACCACGCGCCTCCTCGTCAAGCGGCCTATAACCAGTGCAGGCCGTAGTTTGGCATCGCTTGGTGCCTCTTGGAGGCGGGGGTGGTCAGAAGCGAGGTATGGCTGTCTGCCCCCTAAGGAAGCAGGTGTCTCTTCGTCCCCTGGCGATGGCGGGCGTGGCCAGGGGGGGAGGGCGGGGGGGCTGAGAGGGGCCAGTCACGTCGCGATTCGCGCCGGCGCCGTCTGGGAAGATATCTGAACTGCTGATTCGCAGGCTGCTCCGACGCGAGACGTTGCGTGACCAGCGGGGCTGGCGGAGGAGCGAATAGCAACACATGGGTTCCAGATGGCAGCCATGCCTAGGGATTCAGAGTTTTCATTCACCCACCCCCGAAAGAGACGGATCGTGAAACGTCGACACGGCCGCCAAACTTGATCTGGCTCTTCTCGGGCCCTGGACCAGCGTATAGACCATCCCGGCCTGGGCAAGGAGGGTCTACACGCGAGTCCAGCGCCAGGATTGGGCCCGGGAAGGGCTGGCAGGGTGTAGTTTTAAGTCGGGCCTGTCTTTCTACAGGAGGAATACTCAAAATTTGTCAAAAATAGTCTGGTGACGATTTTCCTAACATTTTATGCTCATCTGTTTGGAATATTTTTTGACTATTTTTTTTGTTCGTCCCAAATCCGTCCGTAGGAGGACATGCCCGACCTCAGTGTAGTTCCCAGCCCCTGTCGCCTTGTCAAGTTTTGCGCTGGCGGCCTGAGCTTCTGCGCCTGGCAGCCCTGCGGGTGCGGGAGGGAATAGTGCGGCATACAGGGAATATTAAGGGCGGACAGGAGGCCAGTAGAGTCGGGGGAGAGAGAGAAGAGGCAGCAAGGAGGCGCACGACGGGGTGGAAGAGGTAGTGTGGCCAGATTTGGGATCGGGGGCACCAGCTGATCCCACACCTATAACCGGTTCTGGTCAGGCCGAATCTTGGTTCTCCCGGGGGCCTGACCAGCGCTGGCCCAGGAGAAGCACGACAACATCCGCAAGCTCACCGACCGCATCGCCGCCATGGACGCGGAGCTGGCACAGGTCACCGACGGCATCAACGTCGTCACCGAGGACCTGCGCCGCTGTGACGTGAGTCCACCAACATATCTCGTGCTCACTCCTCGTCTGCTTTCCCAGCGCGGCTCCCTTGTCCTGCCTTGCACCACGCGCCATGCTGCCAGTTCCCGCCCCCCCCCCTTGTGGAGTCGGCTCCTTTCTTCTCTCCGCTGCACCGCAGGCCCCCTCCTCGCTCGCCTCCCCTCCTCCTCTGCTCCACTCCTTCTTTTCTCGCCCCTCCAGGCCCTCCTCTTCTTGCCGTTGTTGCTGCGGTGGCCGCCGCTTTGGCTTCGGCTGCGCGCACGCGCTGATCTTCATGCCCGATGCCCCTTGCACGGCTCGGCTCGTCCTCCAGGGGGGAGGCCCCGCGAGGGGCACTGGCGGGCGCGCGCTCACCCGACGACCCCCCCCCGCGCGGCACGCTCGCACACCTCACGCGAGCCTCGTGCCTCGTGGGGCACGCTCTCCTCGGCGCCCGGCGCCAGTGTGTCTGCGCACCTCGCGCACATCGTGCGCCCCACAGGCAGCCCCACTCAGGCCTCATGTCGATTCCGATTCGATTCGATTCGATTTCGATGGCTTTCGATCTTGATTCGATTCGATTTCGGATTCCGATTTGGGCTCCGATTTCTCAATGGAGGCCTACTGGCCTGCCGATTTCCGCCGATTCGACATCTCCCGACTCGGCTGCCGACTTCCTCCGATCCGATTTATTTTGATTGCTGATCCGACTTATCGATTCGATTCTGGGCTCTTCTGGCCCCACTGCGGCGCCCGCGCCTGGTTTCGACGACTCTGGGAGCACACCCTGACGCGCAGCGGATGGCAGGGCCTTTTCAAGCATCGGCGGTTGAGGGCACAATCTGTGGCGCAGCCAAGAGCAGTCGTTTTTGAAGTCGGGCATGTCCCTCAACAGGAGGCATTTCCAAGAATAGTAATATAATAGTTTGGTGATGATTTTCGAGCTTTTTTGACGATTCTGGGTTATTTTTGACTAGTGTTTATTTTTCCTCCAGAATCCGCCTGTCGGAGGATATGCCCGACCTAGAATCAGGTTTTCATTGTCTGCGGCCACTCCCGCCATTTGTGATATGTTGCGAAAATAGCGGATGCCGAAGGCTCGGTGCCCCCCGCGCGTTCCATGGCACAAGCAGCAGCAGCAGCAGCGGCCCCGTCGGAGTTTCGGTGGTCGAGGGTTCAACCTCTGGCGCAGTTGGCGGCGAGTAGAGTGTTTGTTTTCCAAGTCCTTCGGGCCACAACGCGCGTTATGCCCCCTCCCCTGCCCCCTCTGGGATGGAGGAGGGAAGGGACAAGGGGAAGGGAGAAGGA